CTTGATTTAATCACTATTTCATGAGTTTCTGCTATTCGGCCTGTGAATCAGTGGACCATCTTTTCTTCTTATGTGACTTTACTAAGTCCATTTGGTGTCGGGTTGCTATATCAAGGACTTGTCCCTTAATTGAAAGAGGAATAACTTCAATTATGCGTTAGGAAAGTTGTGTTTGGGTGCTTCCGTCTATTGGATTTGGGGGAAAGAAACAATAAAGTGTTTTGTGGGGGAGTACAACTGTACAAGGATACAGCTTCAATTAAGTTAATTGTAAATGATAGAGCTATGGATCTTAGGAAGATGAAAAGAACCATTAGTAATAAGAGCCTTGATTTTTTGTTGGTTGGCTTTGTTTTGGTGATAATTGTTTTGTGTGTGTTTTAAAGATGATTTTGTATAAACTTTTGTTTTCGTTCTAACCCAAGGCTTGTTTTCGTTATAAAAGGCTTGTCCTATGGTACCATATAGATTGAAAGATAGTGTTTTGAGTAACTGTTTTGTCTTGATTAGATTATTGTTTTTATCTTATTTTAGGGGTTTGTCCTGTGATAAGCTGACCGCTTTTTATAAGTTTTTTGTATATCATTTTTCTCTTTCTATTTAAAGTTTTTATATATGTAAAATAAAAAAAATAACCCAAAAAATAATTATTTTATGAGAATTTGAGAATTACAACACTATTTCAAAACTTAATGCAATAATATATAAGATGCATGTCTATATTGATACCTGTATTATCATTTGAAATAGAACAACATTATAAAACGACTACATTTAGGAGATTTGAGTGACTACTGCAGAAACCATGGTGTTCATTCCACACATACCGTGGCCTCGGCAAAGCCGGTAGTACCCATTTTCTCCCCAGTGCTTTCCCCATGAATTCTTGATGATCCAGTATGGCTGATTGCCAAGTCTTAGAATGGAGAACCCATGGGCTCCATATCCGACAAGGAGAACGCCGTGGTTGATCCATCGCTTGCCACAGATGAGCGGACACGAGACACCCCCAATGTAAGTTTGCATGAACAAAGCATTCAACCCAACTGCACTTAAGATTTTCACCATTATCGATGTTTCCACAGTAGTAACATTAGTTGAGCAAATTTCACTAGGCCTAAATGGAAATTTTAATCATAAACTCTGAGTTTCTAATTTAATTCAACATTTGACTTTCATATTCTTGGATTACAATTTGAAATGAACAATACACAAGGTTCATATTTTTACTGAGAAAGTTGATAATGAAAAGAAAAACTCACTTGCTAGAGGGCCATGATGAACTAAATGTGCAGCGATTTGGTTCTCGTCGATGGGAATATTGGTAAAATTTATAACTCTAACAGCTACTTTATCTGAATTAAACTTGCATTCACCATTTTTTCCAGTATAAGGGTATGAACTTTCTTCCTGTAGTCCTCCGGCATCGATCAAATATTTATAGGCATTTGTCATAAGGCCTCCATAGCAACCATTGTCACATTCACTCTGTTGCTTTGCATCACACTGCAAAATTACTTAACCAATGAATTATAAGTCACCAAAAAAGTAATTAATTGGATCATTAAGAAGTACCAAAACCATATTCAGAAAATTAAGCTTTTTATCCCTATGCAAGGATTTTAAATATATTTATTCTTATGGTGCAAATCTTGAATGTATCTTTTCTGATCTGGGAAAAGATCCTGTAGGACCTAACCATGTGGTCGCAATCGACAAGCTGCTGCTCACTAAGATTCAGAAGCTTCCCGGTTCCGATAAAGTTGGCTCCTTCAACAGCTCCTGTAGTGCTAAAAGCCCAGCATGATCCACATGTACCCTGCATCGAAATTTCAAACTTCACCATCACTAAACAACAGAAGTGTTACTATTTAATAACAAAATTAGAACAATGAACACAAAGCTGCTGCTCATCAGTAAGCAATTTTTTTCATCTATATAATAAAGTTAACTCACAAACTTCAACAGTAAAAAGAAAATATAATAAAATTAGCGTTTTGGAGGATGGATTAATTAATATATACCTGCATCTTGACCTCAGTAACAGCACCCTTTTCTCTCCAATCAAAACTCTTAGGCAAATCATCCACTTCCAAATTTTTCATCATTATCCCACCCTCCACGTCATCTGCACCGTTCATCACCGCTGGTCCACCTGTCATCCCAGTGTAAAACCTCTCAAACTCCTCCTCAGACAGATCGGAGAAAGGCGTCACGCCATGCACCGCCGTGGGATCAAGCAGCTGATGCTCAGCCGCCTTCATCACGTTCTTCGCGAAAACCCCCAAGCGGTGCACGTACTCCTCCCTCGTAGAGTAGCTTTTCCCATATTTTTGGATGAATGACTTGAAATTCTGCTCTGTAGCAGTACCCAGAAGAGCGTTTCTGGAGAGGATGGAACTGGAATCGTCAGTGACTTGGAGTATTGTGGGGTTTAGTGAGGCTTTATCAACGTGAAGAGGTGAAGCTGAAGAGAATGTGAGTGCGTAGGTTAGTATTGTAACACTCACGGCGCATGTTAGAGCTCGTAATTGTGCCGGTGTCATCTTCTTCTGGGTATTGCTTTTGTTCTTCGCTCTGTTTACTGAACGAAGGGACTGAAAGGGCCCGTTTAAGTTGCATTTTCCGGCTGTGTAATTCCTCTTTTGTCCTTAAAAGATTACAAAAGGGCAAGGGTGTTATGGTAAAGTAGAGAGAGGGTGGCCAGGTGTAGCGGCTAGTCGGCCACGTGTAGAGCATGAGAGGTTTGTGTGACACGTGGTAGTATGTGTACGTACATGTTGAATCAGCTTGTTTACCTGGATGCCATATTAAGTTGCCATGTGGTTCTCTAATGCAACAAAAACGGAGCTTGTTTTGGATTGGGAAATGGGAAGCTGAGGGTTTGGATTTCGGGTAGGACCTTTTTCTTTTTCTTTTATGATAAACTCGGGTAGAATTTCGGGTCATAAATATTCGAGTTATTTAGCCTTGGGCTTAAAAGTGTTATATGGATCGGTCCAAACTTTTTATTTTATTTTTTTATGGTCGATGATGCTCGACCAGTTTATACGTATCTCAATTAATTCTTTAAAATTTTAAAATTATCGATCGAGTAAGAATTTCAATGGCTATCCTTATTAAAAAACCAAGGAGGGACTCAAACTTTGGACATTTTGAAAAATATAACCAAGAATCACTATCGAATCATTTGACCATCCAAAGATAGTTAATCGGTTCAACTTACTCATGCCAAATTTTCTTTTTCTTTTAATAAAGAACTCCATAATTATAATAAATAACGTTATTGAATCAACAAGGTAATAATTTATGAGTAATACTACACATACATAATTTTCATACAATATTTCACATACAACATTATGTGGCAAGATATGATTGACTAATTTAAAGTTAAAATTAAACTTTCACCCAATCACATCTTGTCACATAATGTTGTATGAGAAATATTGTATGGAAATGATGTATGTGTAGCATTATTTATAATTTATTTTCTTAAGTGAGGAGTCTACTCTAAGCCAACCACTTTTATATTGAAAGCAAAAGTTTCCTGAATGATATACACAAAGTTGTGACATCTAAAATATGAAATATACTATTCATACAACCGTATAGATTAGTAAAATGTTTACATTAAATTCCATAAATAAATTACTGCAACTGCAGAAGCAGTTGAATTTTGGGTAATAAATAAATTAAGAGGTTGGCAAAGTAGTATTATAAAGTCTCGTCTTATTTTTATATAAATATAGTTAACGATTTTTTTTTTCACCCAAATAATGGTTTAATTACACTTTTTCATCCACATACTTTTAAAATACCATTTTACTATCCAAATTTACATTCCAACGACAAACAAAGAGCATATTTTGTCCACGCTATTGAGACTTTTGAAGAGAGAAGATTGATGAGTCTTTTGGTGATAGAATATTGGATTTTAGTGGTTGGGATTGATTGAAATTTGACTTAGGAGAGGCAGTTGCGCAAACCCTAATCGTTCGATTGTCGGTGATTGGCGGGGTAGACGGTAGTGGGGTTTTAGAGGTTTTAGTGAGTGATAATCAGGGAAGAGAATGGTGGTGGCGTGGGGTCGTATTTTGCAATAATGCCGAAATTAGAAACAAAATATAAATTTGAATAGTAAAGTGATATTTTAAAAGTCTGTAGGTGAAAAAGTGTCATTAAATCATTATTTGGATGGGAAAGTCATTTACTCTAAGGGTGTGTTTGGTTCAAGGAGTATGAGATTATTGGGAATCTTTAAGGAAATATGTTTGGTTAGTTGGAATAAATTAGTGGGTATATTATATTAATATGTTTGGTTAGAAGGAATAAATTGATGAGTATATTATGTAAATTACTAAATTGTCCCCATTTTAAAATATTAATATAATATTGTTTTTATTATTAATTTTTGAATAATTTTATATAACCCCCAACATTTTAGATTTAGCTAAAACACCCTAGCTTATATAAAACTTTAATTTGTAACAAAATCACCCTTACCCACCTTAAGCCACAATCGGCCGCCAACCACCACCATTGGTCGCCGCTTGACGGAATCAGAAGTTGCTGGAAATCTCTGGGAGTCGTCGATATGGCCGTGTCAACGATTTCCGATAGTGGTGGTTAGGTGACGGTGGTGGTTTGCAATTTTTTTAAATATAAGGGCATTATTACCAAGTAATATAATATGACATTACCTCTAACCAAACACACCCTAAATTCAAATATCAAATATGGCAATCAAGAGTAACAGTATCCCACAATTAGCCAAACTTACAACCCAATTCTGTCCACCAAAAAAAGGCATACTACCTCATGCACATTTAATTATCTTTCTTCAACGCCAAAACTATCTTATCTTTCTTCACTCAGGGAATTAACTTGACATCCAGTGCAAGTTTTTCATTACTTAATCTTCAGAAATATGATCGTACTGCAAATTATATTCCTATATAAATAATCATACATTAAAAAACTTTCAATGTAAGTCAACAATGGCCTCCATCAATATTCTTGTGATGATAATTTTACTTCACATTCTCGTACTCTACATGATTATCAACACATCAAACTCCAGAGAAAAGTTACCAACAATCCTTGTTTTTGGTGATTCAACTGTGGACACTGGAAACAACAACTACATTCAAACTTTGTTCAAGGGAAATTTTCTCCCATATGGCCAAGATTTTCCTGGGAAAATTCCTACAGGAAGATTTTCCGATGGGAAACTTGTACCTGATTTTCTTGCCAATTTTCTAGGCATCAAAGACACTGTTCCTCCTTTTCTGGATCCTAATTTGTCAGGAAAAGAACTCGTCTCTGGTGTTTGTTTTGCTTCAGGGGGATCAGGGTTTGATGATTTGACAACTGCTGTATCTAAAGTCATCCCGGTTTCTAAACAGATTGAGATGTTCAGAGATTATGTAGTGAGGCTTAAGGGGATTGTTGGTGGTGATGAAGAAAAGGTTAAGAAGATAATTGGTAGTGCTTTGATTGTGATTAGTGCAGGCACTAACGACTTCATTTTTAACTTTTACGACATCCCCTCAAGAAAATTGGAGTTCAATATTAGTGGGTACCAAGATTTCTTGTTGGACAGGCTACAGTCCTTCGTTAAGGTAAAAATAAATTCCTAGTTTCTTTTCATAAATTTTCTTTGTTTAATATATTGTTTTCTCGTTGATCCAAAATTATGTCCTATTTATCCCATGGATTAGTTGAAAAGTCAAATTTGTGGTTTTCTTCCACGATATTTGCGGTTTGAGTCATTGACAGAATAAAAGGAGTAAGCTACTTTTCCGACTTAAATAATGGTTTGATCATACTTTTTTACTTACAGGCTTTTAAAATACTACTTTATTATTTAAATTTATATTCCGTTTTCGATTTTGGCATCATTGCGACCCCACACTATTATCATTCTTTTTTTCCGATCATCACTCACCAAAACCCATCAAATCTTATTCCTGTTGACCTCTTTAATTGTCAACAATCGAGCGATTAGGATTTACGCAGCCGCTCTTTCTAAATCAAATTCCAATAAATCACAACCACCAAAATCCAACATTCCAGTACAAAAAGACTTATCGGTCTCTCCTTTTCAAAAACTTTAATAGTCTAGACCGAGTTTGCTCTCTATTTATCGTCGGAATATAAATTTGGATAATAAAGTGAAATTTTAAAAGTCTGTAAGCGGAAAAGTGTCATTGAATTATTATTTAAGTGGGAAAAAGTTGTTAACTCTAATAAAAAAACTATTATTTGCTTCCCACTTATAAAAAATGGTAAGATTCAGTCTACAGAGCAGGTTTGGGGGACTAGATAGGTCATTGTTTGTTCTTGCTTCTCAAAGATTATAAGGTTCCATGAGATTTTAGTTTAACTTAGGGTCATATTTTATGTATCATTATATATTTTTATATAATGTAAAAAATGGGTTATATTGTATTTCGATTGATCGGAACTATGTATTTATATAAAATTTGATCTCAATTTACCATTTACTGCGTAAAATGTAAACTTGTAGGAACTATATGACCTTGGCGGCCGTAAGATGGTGATAGCTGGTTTGCCTCCAATTGGTTGCTTGCCCATACAAATGACTGCAAAATTTGAGAACCCATTTGCTAGGATTTGTTTGAAGGATCAGAATTCAGACGCTCAATCTTACAACTACAAACTTGCTAAGCTGTTGTCTCGACTTCAATCACTTCTTCCAAAATGCAAAATCATTTATGCAGACATTTATCGGCCGTTGATTGACATGATTGATCATCCTAAAAAATACGGTAAGCTATGCTCATAAATCAATTAATTAAATAGTTCTCAGCTTTGTTGCTATCTTTCAGTTATCATACTGATAGGCATTGCAATGTTTTCCGGAATTCCGAGGAGCTACCCCGCCCCATTTCTCTCAAACAACTTCAATCACCGTGTGTTTAAAATAAATATAATTATATATATTTTATGAAAAACGGATACATGACATGAGAAGACGAACGACTGTCGCTAACATTTCTCTCATAGGATTTCAGTAATAGAAATTGTTGCATAATTTACAGGATTCGTGGAAACAAAGAGAGGGTGTTGTGGAAGTGGAGTATTGGAAGCAGCATTTCTATGTAATCCATTAACCCCAACATGTGGAAGGCCTTCAGAATTCTTGTTTTGGGATAGCATTCACCCAACTCAATCTGCCTACCAATTCATATCTCAGTATTTGGAGATTGAAATCTATTCCAAGTTACTCTCTGATAAACATCTTCTAAATTAATCACTTAGATCAACAAAATCATCATCTTTGAGTTCTAGCGTTACACCATTACGTTGCGTTAATAGTCTCATCAAATTGATAACGTATCGATAAAATCACTTCGACGATTTCCTAATATTATTTGTTAGCTTTACATGAAAAAATGTGTCGCGTGTAATTTAATTATTGTAATTTTCTCATTAAGCAATAGATAACTATATTTATTTTGTTTTGTTAGTCTTCCTGACGCTTATATTATGCTATATTTTAGAATACTTCATTTGTTCACTATGATACATTTTTTTTTTTTTTTAAATAATCATCAGTTTATTGTTATTATTATTATTTTTTTAAAAGGATGATATTTATATATTGTAGTGTAAGAAAAAGACAGCTTTAATATTTAAACTTTTTAGATGGACATTAAACATAGAATCTCCCATAAAACATTAATGAAAGAAAGATTTAATAGATGTAAAAATAGTAGAGAAATTGAGAATCCTTTTAGAAAGGCGTTTCAAGTGCTTTCTAGTGATTCCTAGCGAAGACTTAAAAGGTGTAGAAAATTAGAAATTCTAGAAAAAAAACACTTCTAAAATATTCTAATTAAATAGAAGAAAAAAAATCAGACCTGCCGGATTCGAACCAGCGACCTAAGGATTGCTATCAGGTTAGCCCACTACAGTCCTCCGCTCTACCAACTGAGCTAAGGTCGGTTGCTGATGATATTAATGAAGTGAACATAAACTTGCCTAACCAACAAAGGATGTGCCTAAACATTTTCTTTAACATCAATATACCTTTTTTCTTTAAAACTTACCCCTATGGGAGCGTTTGGTTGGCGGTAATGTCAGATTATTGGGATAATGTTATCTTATATTACTTGATTATCACGTTTGGTTGTCAAGTAATATAAGATTTCGGTAATCTTCAAATACCAATAGTAGTTACTATTGGTAATATTGGAGGTAATCTGATTACCTCCATTTTCTTAGGTATTCTGAGATTACCAGGGTTATCATTTTTTGTTACAATTTTATCCCTTATTAATAAAAATTTTGGACAATAATGCCCTCATTTTAAAATAAATTTACATTAATATCCTATTTCAATTTTACCCTTATTTAACTAAAATTTTTGACAATAATGTCCTTGTACTTAAAACAATTTACAGACCACAGACCACTGCCACTCAGCCACCACCACCACCACCACTACCACCACCGCCGACAGTGGCCAACCACCACGGACCGCCACCGAAAACTCGCCAGAGTCCCTAAAAAAGAACGAGTTTCGGTGGGAGGCTCCGGGAGGCATCGATATGGCCGTTTCCGACCATATTGATGGCCAAAAACGGCCATATCTGGCCGTTAATGGCCAGATCCTTGGCCATTAGCGGCCATATCTGGGCGAGATTTGGCTGTTAACGGCCACGGCCCTGGCCGTTAACGGCCAGATCTATTTCGGCCAGAATAGATCTGGCCGTTAACAGCCAGGTCCATGGCCGTTAACGGCCAGATCTCGCCCAGATCTGGTCGCTAATGGCTAAGGATCTGGCCATTAACGGCCAGATCCACCGATCTGGTCGAAAATGGCCAGAATAGATCTGGCCATTTCCGGCCTGATATGGCCGTTTTCGGCCATCAATATGGCCGAAAACGGCCATAGCGATGCCTCTTGGTCACGGTGAGTTGCTGATGGGGAGTTTCAGAGACTTCCGACAGTGGTCTGCGGTGGTGGCAGGCGGCGGCAGGAGGTGGGGTTGATTTCGTCATAAATTAAAGTTTTATATAAGCGGGGGTGTTTTAGCTAAATCTGAAATATTGGGGGTTAAAAGAAATTATTCAAAAATTAATAATAAAAATAATCTTATATTAATATTTAAAAGGGGGACAATTTAGTAATTTAAATAACATACCCACCAATTTATTCCCCATAACCAAACATATACATATAACATACACACAAACTAACCAAACACATTTTTTTAAAGATTCCCAGTAATCTTCTAAGGTAATCTATCTTCCCAGTAATCTAACATTCCTAGTAATCTAACATTCTTGAACCAAACGCCCCCTATGAGATTGCTTAATATGGAAGATATATTATGTTATTGAAAAGTATTATTTACTCATCATATTAGGGATTTTTTTTTAATGCTTTTTTAAGGGGAGTTTTTTTATTTTTAAAGGGGTTATTGATGTTTTCAAGTAGAGTTTTACAATCATAAGAGATTTTATATTACTTTTCAATAATAATAGATGCTTTTTATATTAAGTGGTATCACATGGGTAAATGAAGTAAACCCATTTGAAAAATATAAAACAAGTACAAAATTTATTCTTTAGAATTTAAATTAAATTATACTATTAACTCTTTCTTTTATTTAAAAAAAAGATATTATAAGAAACTAATATCCAATGTGTTGATGCGTGACTTTTACACCAACTAAACGCACGCGTGCAATGCTGAGCTGACCCAGAAGACACACGTGAATGCAAGAAGAATGAGAATAAATGCAATGGGGATAACTTTTAAAGTGGTTCGGATGCTAAAAAAGCAAATCCTATGTCCACTGATGTTTGTATTAATGATAGAGGTCAGGTCGCATTAGCGGACTGACTTACAAATAACTCACAAATGATAGTACAAGAGAGAGAAGGCTATATATTCTTGAGAGAGAATAGTCAATCCCCTAAATGGGAGAGGAGCTCTCAATTTATAGTGGGATGGACTAAGGTTATCATTACTGAATCTGTGAGTTGGTGGGATTATCCGTACAAATCCTTCTTTATGTCACATTGCCCACCTTTCAGAGTGATTTACGAGATTTGGAGCAGGGATTGGACACGTGGGAGCACCACAACTTCTAGCTAGTCTGGCACGCACCCACTATTTTGACAAAAGCATGCTGTTCATTTTCCCACGCGACTTGGCTGCGGGTGCACCCATGCTCTGACTCTTTGCACGCTGACTGGACCTTACGTCAGCCCTGCATTCTTTAGGCATAACAGAAGTCCCCTAGTTTTTAAGGTTTGAGGATTGAACCTTGGAAACTATAGTTCATGCTGCGTCTATATGCTTTTGGGAAATTCTGGTGACTACGACCTGCTTGAAGATTGGTCGGGGTAGCGCCCTTTATGAACATGACCTCGCATGGTCATTGCTTGTTAAGGATGAACAACCTGATTTCGTCAGGCGTTGCCTGTTGCGTTTTCAATATGGATGCATTTAATGAAACAGCCCCTGCTCTGACAGACGTGTCCTGTGCGTAATAAGTGCCAGCCAAACGCATTAAATGTGTGATACGCTGACACGATATCCTTTATCAGAACATTAAATGCATGGCATGCTAAAACGACACCCCTTAACAGAGCATTAAATACAGATTGGGGCGCAATTAATGCTGAGGGAGAGAGTGCCGTCGCTTGAGTTTTTCAACGGAAAAAGATGACGGTTTGGTTTTATGTAATTGTGATGCTCACTCTTTCTCACTGATCTGTGACACGTGGTCGTGATCAATGGTGAGAAATTTTTGTCGCCCAAACATCGTTTTGATTCCGAGAAAAACAAGCGTCGTTTCATGCGTTATAAAAACTCAGATCTTTCTCAGGCAATGTCACCACACTCATCTTTTTCACAGAGAGTAAGAGATTTTCGCAAGCCTGGAATCTTTGCCTTCAAAACCAGCGTGTTTCTGATATTTGAAGCAGAGGGAGCCATTTTCGTACTCCGAGAGGTAAGAATCTTTCTCTGCTTTCATTTTCTTATTGCCATGGTTGGTAAATGGCGTTAGTCTTCTGGTAGATAATCGGAGACGAGACGCCCATGTCGGGTTCGACCATAAATGACGGCTCGAATCATTCTGTTAGGGTTTCCTCTAGGTTTTAGGGAGTTTTGTTTTCTTCCACGTCATCATACAGAGTAGTGTACGATGGCTAAATGACCCCCCTACTTATTGCTTTTGTAGACTAGTAGAATGGACCCCTCAATGACCAGATCCGAGGAAGGAACCGGTTCATCCTCTCAGGGTGCTCCGAGTGTCACTCCTGAGGTCTACTTGGTACTTATCGGGGAAGAGCTCGAGAAGGTGATAAAACAGTACGGTATCGACGTGGATGTTTTTCGCGACTTGGCCCACTCATCGCGATACCTATCAAGTGGGATGGCCGCGATCTCCGAGGAGATCATCAAGGGTGGAGGGTTGATCACCTTCCACCCTTTTATCAGGTTGATCTTGGATCACTTCGGGATATCACCAATGCAGCTCACTCCGAACGCGTATATTATTGCTGTTGCCATGTACATCGCGTGTCATGAGAACAGGCTAGGCGAGCTAACCGCGACGGAGCTCGGCTGCTCGTATTTCTTGAAAAAGAGCAAGGACAAGGATTCTTATTACTTATCCAGGCGACCTACTATAGCCGAGGGGATACACAGCTACCCTAGCAATGCGGGGGCCTACGAAACGAAGCTTTTCTTATTTTGTTACGATGGTCATTGCCGCTTTCAGGACCCGAGTAGGCTCTTTTCCCTTGGCGAACTCATTAAATTTGGAATGCGTTTTCTTTCTAACGACCCGTTTCTTTTCTGGCAGTTAACAAGACGACCGACTTAGGGCTGCTCTTCGATCCGGATAGGATCATATCTTTTAGCTTCTTGCCCGAAGCCAGTCACAATGCGAAGAAGCTCGTAACGACCACGAATTTGCAGAAATACGGTTTCTTCAATGCAAACGCGTCTTTAGAGCCCCCATTGAGTAAGTCTTGCTAACTGGTTCTTTTCTGGTCGTGAAATGAAGTACTTTTGCTAACGATGCTTGCATGCAACGACCATGCCTCTGAAGGTGTCAGAGCCAATACGACAAAGGCAATTTAATTTCCTGCGGTCGCAGACCGCCAAGGCGACTGATGCTGCTCCTGTTGATCCCCCAGATGAAGGTACCACATCGGACCTCCCGGTGCGACTTGTTGGAACTTCTCAGCATCAGCCTTCCCAGGACACACCAATTCGACCGGCAAAAACTTCCCAGCCATCGGCTGTTCGCCCGAGGCTAAAGACAACGGCTCAGCGAGCGAAGAAGAGAAGGCAAATTCAGGTCGAAGAGTCAGAGACCGAAT